GATATTGAACCGATGTAGGACCTGTAATATGAATAAAATAAAAGTGGAACCTCAAACCGGAAATAGAGGTACGAGAATCGGACAAGCAGCTATGCCTGTTTTGATAATTGACCTAAATATGCGTCAGGATCACCGGGCAGAGATTGCACATAGAAGTGTTGCCAGCTGGCACCCAAATTTCACAGCATTGTCCCGAATCGGATGGTCTACCTCTTCAATACTACCGTACTGAAAGCAGTGATATGCGAATGCGAACTGTGATCACTGACAACAGAAGGAGAGCGCACGCTTGCAGTAACAGAGAGAGAAAGAGCTATGAACCGGAAGATGCTGAATATGTCTTTTCGTAATCACAAAAGCAGTTGGACACTCCGTCAGATGAGCGACGTGCAAGATATCATTGAAACAGCGCGAAAAAGTAAAACCCGATGGCCGTGGCTTACGACTAATGGTCGTCGCATGTTTTTGAGTAGTGCCTGCAAAAAAGCAAGCCGTTTGTAGCATCCATGTTGATGGGTGCCAAAGTAAGGGAAGTGTATATAAAGAGGAAAAAATAGTAGAAGAAAAATAGAGGGAAAAACAGTTGAGTTAAGACATTTTGGTCCATTAAGTCATATACGTCTTAGCTCAACACCACGACTGGACCTCGTCAGTACGACGGTCGCGATGTTCAGGGATAAGGAGGGAAGGAAGGAATATAAAAGAGAGGAAAAAAGGTGAAAAAAGAAGAAAGAAACGTGGGAAAAGGAGGAGAGGAAAAAAGGAGGAAGAAGAAGATAAGGAATAGAGTTTATTAATTACAATTTTGTTGGTGGACTTTTAAAAAAATGACACTCATACGTTGAAAAAGTGATTGATGTTAATGGTAGGCTTGCAGCTCAAATTCGAAAGACGTGAGGTAGCTGCACCATTTGCATGGGTAGATCCCAGTATCATCGTTAACGTGAAATACCCGTACAGGGGATTCGAGAAGCCCTAGATTCGCTGGATATAATATAATATGTTTTAAGAAATTAAACGCCAAACTCTAGTCTGTTGAGATGCGTTAATTTTCGTATCGTAACGAAAAGAACATTCGTTTGTTATGTGCTTTTTTTCCCCCACAGTTAGTATTAAGAATTGAAGGCTGGCTAATGTTTGCCGTGATCGAAGTTTATTTGCATTTTGCATTTCAGGGCGAAATGGTGGATCGGATAGAGTACAACGTGGAACATGCGAAGGAATTTGTGGATCGTGCTGTGGCTGATACCAAGAAAGCGGTGCAGTATCAGAGCAAAGCACGAAGGGTTAGTCCTGTTTTTTTGTTTAATTTCGGCCAAGTTCTTCGCATATTTATTCTTCTTAAATTACGATATATGCATGATGTTTGTGTATGTGTGCGTTTTTTGCCTCGAAGTTTCTCTCAAAAAAACATTTGATGTGAGCGGAGATAATTCTAGCTTATTTTTTCTTCTGTTATTTTTTCAGCTTATTTGCTAATGGTATGTCGTATCGTGATATTTTTTTTTATCGTGATATTTTTTTTTTTGCATGTACCCTGTCAAACCGTTGTTGTTGTTATTTGTTGCATTGATTTGATATCACATAATTTTTTGCATTCTACATGAATTCATGCGGACCGTTGGTTTGGAGTGGCGCCTTCAGCTAAGGACCAGAAAAAGCAATTGCATTACATTCTTTGTTTTATTAAGAAAATATATTCCCCGTTTGTTTCCAAGTGACGTTATGCTATGTTGCACTTGTTTAGTTTAATTTTTTTGATGCATCAGTGTTGTCATAATGGAAGAAGTCAATGATTTTTAGTTTTGTTTGAGCTTATTTCTTAAAATAATCCCAAACATATTCCAAACCAAACTATGTGCCTTAGACATAAAATACCTTAAACAAAAAATTTAAAATAAAAAATCGCAAATAAATTACATTTGTAGAAGGAAAAGAACTTATTGAAAATGTTAAATTTGTATTCTTTGATTTTTTTTTTGCAGAAGTTGAAGATTTAGAAGGGGGATCTACTCCTCCCTTTTTTCGTCCCCTTTCCTCCTCATCCCCTCCCCTTTTCTCTCCTTCCTTTTCCTCCTTTTCGTCCCTTCCCCCCTCTCCTTCCTCCTTTTTTATGTGTTCTTAACCGGCCCCGTCCTCATGATCGTTTCGCTTTCGGTTGTGTAGCTAATTTTTGCAAATTTTTTGCATGACATAGTCGTGTATCTGTATTGTGCGTAATACTGTTCTTTCGCTAATCTCCGAGAAGTAGTGCTTTCGCCCTGAACTTTCTAATATTACGATATCGCTGCTTTTCTAGCAATTCCTCTCACTACTTGATTTATCCTGGAGCATTTCGTCCCTAAACTCAAAAATATATTTTTGCGCTTTTCAAGTCTAATAGTGTTGAGATAAATTGTATGACAGACATTAATGTTTTCAAAAATGTTCTTGAGAGTTATCAAAAATATGCTGAAAATTAGCCTACTTTCATCGTGTGAAAGGATATGAGCTAGAACTGAGCAAAATCATTAAGAAGGAAATATTAGACGTTAATGACAAGGTGAAAAAGAAACTCAGCAGAGAAAAAACAATAATAATGCACGGTATTTTGAGACGAACGAAGGAAAGTTTAGGAAAACTCTTCATATTTGATCCTTTCGAAAATTGGTGCCATTCTCTGTTAAATAAGTGCTATTTGGCAGAAATGTACAAAGGTGTCCCCTCATTAAAAATTTGCATGCAATGTTTTGTCCAACTTGTACAGCAAAGACGCCTTTAACATGATCCCCCGAACTCTTTTTTTTTTGTCCTTTTTCCTCTCGTTTTCCCGCTGGTTTACACATTTAGCAAATGCTGGGGAGGAAAGGAACGAAGAATTACAAACAGATGAAAATAAATGTATGAGGGGAGCGCAAGAAAAAAGATGTGATACAGCAGAACGTTTAAAAAAAAGAGGTCAGTGGCTGAATAGGGGAAAGGAATTAAAAAAAAAAAAAAGCAAGTGCAAATTACTTCCGAAAAGTTCAGAATTTTTGCATTGTTTGAAGGGATTTGACTTTGAAGACGGAAAAGTACGTTTTTTTTAAGGAAATAAAAAAAAGGCGTCTTGTGAAATAAATTTTGTTTTTTTCGTTTTTTTTTATTGTATAGTGATTGTTTTCGTTCTGTGTATTGCTGTCTGTGTTTCTTGAATTGGTATTTTAGCGCATGCTGTGAGTAATTTTCAACTTCTTCCTCATAAAACCTTTGTTAAGAAATTCAAAAAAATGGGAACAATTAGGACAAAAAATTTGAGCGAAAAAAAACGACTCTTTTTGATGTCATTTTTCGGGTGTGGGTGGAGGAAGTG